TAGAAGACATTCGGATTCATATTTTAAAAATAGCTTTAGAAAATGATTTCCATTCAACATTAGTCACCAGTAAAACTCTGCCTATAAAACTACTTTATTTTGCATGTACTTGGCAGGCACTTTTTTCATTTACACCAGGATACTCATTAACTATTATAGTACTTATATTTATCATTTCTCACTGTGTTGACTAAGTTCATTTTTCTTGGGTTTATCGTCATAATAATTTCCTCACTGAGTATTTCAGTCAGTCAGGAAATTACTTTTTGATTTGCAAATTCAAACCAGATATTGAAACAAAGTTTCTCATGATTATTTAGAGATACAAATTTTGATTCAAATACGTTGATGTATTTGGAAGGGGCCATGGTACAGTAGATGACCCGAGGTGCATTGTAGTCACAAATTTGTAGAAGCATTTTATACCTCTATGCACTAAAGGTAGAATAAATATATGAGGGTATGACACAGGAATAGCAATAAGGGAGGTAGGGCCAGGGATACATTAGGACCATAATAGGTTAGTGGTTATTGTAGCCAGACCTGTTCTTTTAAATATTATTTCAAATACTTATGTGTGACCTACCTACATTCTTTCGCTGGAAACCCCTTTCTTGTTACGGCCCAATGCTGATATCTAAAATGTATTTAAAATGAGCATAAAGCAGTGTAAAAATGCTCTCAGTGTAAAGTCAAATTCATTCAGCCCTCCGACCAACTTCATACTGGTATATTATTATATTATTATTATTATTTTACCATATTCCTACTATAAAAGAAAGTAAAATCCTTTTCCTACTTAACCTATTTTTGGACCACTTTTTTGGCCTAGGGGACTGTTGCTCTTGTCCTAATAGTATATGTCAGAGCAATTATTTAATACCATAGTCACATAATTGCAACAATGTTAGGACCTTGTGATCAGGTCTAGGTGACCGTACTGTACTCGATATATTATCCATTTATCCTACAGTACATCCAAACCTTCTTGGTATTGTGTACAGAATACACAATAGTTAGCTTCATTAAGTAACTAGATGAGATTTGATGATTAATCAACTGGAATATTCCATTTATTAATAGGGATATCATTAAAAATAATTTCCTTTCTTTTCCCAGTGAATGCATTAGCACACTAAAAACATTATAAGTAAAATTAAATCATGTCTTTTAAGAGAATTAAACAATAGGCTTAACTGGTGAAACACAAATAAAAATTATAGGGATAGAAATTTGAACAAAATTAGTTCCAAAATTATTAAAAATCTGTGAAACATTGATGGATGAGGAAACATGGTTCCAGTAGGAAGGAAAAGGGAAGGAACAAAAGGTATTAGAAGGAGAGTTCATTAGTGGCTTCCTTCAAAGAATATTAGTATTGTTACTTTTGTTCCTATAAAATCTTGTCATGTATCCTGAAATTTTAGAGAATGGGTCTAAATACAATTAACAGAAATAGGTTTTTATCCCCATTAGGATGGTTTCTTTCTCCGAACTATTGCATCATACACAATGATAATAGGAAAATCAATTCACTTGATCTCTGATCTGTCTCTGAATGATGGAGGTCTTTAGAATAAAACAAAGGTTTTACACATTTTTTTTGGTGGGTAGGATGGGGAGGGGGTGCTTTCACCAAATAGAGTAAATTTCATGTATTTTTTAAAAGTTTAGAATATATACTGTATCTTAAAAATTTAAATTATAACTTTTTTTTATCTACTATTCATTTCATATTTTGTTTAGATACTTTAACCATCAAAAACCAAAATACATAATAGGCCTACTAATATTATTCACTCCTTCCTCACCCAGTATATCACCAACTGATTTTCTACTACACTGGCATTACTAATTTGAGTTCATATTTGGTAATTGTTTGATGATGTATGTTGTCTATTTCCAGAATCCTTAGAAAGAGGATAGTGAGTGAATGGTAGGGGGCAGTTGAAACTGTTGATTCACCAGTGGGAGTATGATTTAAATGTCTAGCCCTTGTCAGGTCATCTCAAATCTATGTTGCTGTAAATGTGTATAATTGGCAAAATACACCTTCAAATTTGGGCCTTTTTGATTTAACAATTGTAATATTTTTTTGGGATATTTTTCCACTAAAATATAGGCATCTACAAAAAAATATCAGTTATAATTAACATAAAATATATTAAGCTGAATCATACCCCGTGTGATAATGGTAGAGTCTTGTACAATGTCATACTGCTCAGCAACATTGATCATCTGTTTATGGTCTGTCTTTTGACCAATGAGAAGCCTTAAACATTGATCATCTTTGTGTGATGTCATTGTGTACTGTGTGCGGTGACCCATACAGAACTACTGTACAGGAAGGCCATCCAAGCAATGTCAAAAGACTTATAAGCAGGCAATTCAGTGCTGAGGGTAGAAACAGTGAACTAACCACAGTTGACGACAGATCGTATTGGGGCTCATATTTGTCTACTAACGTCCCATCTACGTGATTACTTTTCTGGAAACATTAAAAAACTGTGGAATATACCAGACAGACATTCAAGTGTTGTAGGTTTTGGATTCTCCTAGAAGGTGAGTCGGGATTGGTCATTTGTAATCAAGGAATTTCTTTGTTCTCTTTCCAAATCCTTTGTTTAACTAGAAATAACAACACAAGCTGAATTCATGAACCTGTGTATGATTTACTCCACTGAAATAAAATTTCCATCAACTTTTATCTCATACACCTCTGTATCTATATTCATAGTGTTTATGTATTTCTAGGCTAGATATTTTTCTGTTTTGTCAGATGTAGTCATACAGTTTATGGATCTATAATTATATCTGGCTCTGAGTCATCGGTCTACGTACAGAGTGACGCCTGTGCTTTAGTTCAAACCCTTTGTCTGTTGTGCTTCCTAACCACATATTTTGGTATAATATCCTTTCTAACTAACTAATCACTTTCCAAATACCCTTTGTATTAACTAACTCTGTGAGATTAATTTTTCAAATCTTACTTTTGTGATAACAGAACATTCTCTCCTATTGGGCTTGTTTTTCCTCTATTGTTGACATTCAATTTCATCAAATAGGTCAACAATGGGTCTCTGTTTACTTCTGCTCTTTAGTGTAATCATAATTCATAATTTCTTTTACAACCAATCTAATAGCAAGGCTGTGGAAGGAATTCAATAGAAGTGTATACTAGGTGTGTACATTTCTTTGTTTTGTTCAATTATTGTTATCTTAATTTTTTATGGGTTCCAAAGTTCATTTTGTGTTAGTCCCTAATATCCCTTATTATTTATCTATATATTCAGCCTACTTGTACGTTTATGGATTTAATGGTTGTCATACAATAGAATTATGTTTAATTATATTTATCTACCATACAATATTGTAGTTGGCAATACAACTGTTGATGTCAAACTTACCATCATAACTGAACCAAGAAAAGGAAGTTATATGCCTGCTAAGATTTGGTTCTGAAAGTTTGTTAAGCGTCTTTGTTAAGTGGAAGCAAGGCTGGATTACCAGATTCTGTCATCTGCTAAAATCTGATGTTTTAAGAATAATCCAATTCAAACAGCTACTCTCACTCCATAATTTTCATTATCTATTACAAAAGTAGTTCTTCTCTTGTCTTTTTCTTTATTTACTTTATCTCATATGTTTATAGTAACTGAGTTAATCTTATTCCTCTTAAGTTTCATCAGACCCTAAATAATATATAGGGTCTGTGGTTTTATGTTGCAAAGTTTTTCTTATCCATTTAAATTCTTCCTTTTGTCCTAATCCTCTTAGTAATTACTTTCATCTCAGACCTTTGTTTGTTGGAAGAATAGAATTTGTACCATAGTTTTAAATATGCTCTTTAATAGGGGTAGTAGTTGCTACAGTGGATAGTTCAACATTCTTCAAATACATGCGGAACCTGTGAAGTCAATGTTATCATCATAAAATGTATAAATTATACACATTGGTATCAGTTTTGAATATCATCTTCTAATTACTCTAGTAGGAAATCACAAGAAAAAATTATTTTTAATGTTAAAGTGTCGTAGAGTAGTACCACTATGTTAACATCCTGTTCAGTCCAAATTACCATCACGTTTATTCATTGTTAATGATTAATATGTACTGGTTGTGAACTTACAATGAGTTTGTCTGCCTACCCCCACTTTCCTCCAAATTTGGGATTTAATCCTCTTTTTTCAGTACAAGCCCACATGTTTATTGGCTTTTTTGCAATTTGGGAGGCGACTATTATGCTGATTCAGTGTGTGTTGTCAGGTAAATCTATTGTTGATGGTTCTTTGTTGCATTCAAGGTCGTTGACTGACTGCTGTACAGGAACAGTTTGTGTATGATATCACCATTCTACTCCAGATAGAAAACCAATAATAGTCTATTTATAGATGGTATTATTAATTTATTGACACTCTTATATGGAAAATAACAATTATAAAAATAATGAAGTAAAATAACTTTTAAAAAAAAGCTTTGGAAACATAACAATACTGTAGTATACTTTCTTCCCATGATACAATTACTGTACATTGTGGTGCTAAATAGATGTTGTTATTGACATTAAATATGACACTGTGTCAAATTACACAATGGATCAGCTGATTTTGCCCCATTTCCTGTCCTCTTCCTTTTCCTATTTCCATAATACTGCATCTTGCATAAATCTCTTAACAACAGGACATGTTTGATGAACCAAGGATAAAAATATTAATTCCATAATCATGCAGGATGCTATGATAAAGTAATCAACAGGATCCAGTTGGTGATGGTGGTTTGCAAATTTCTGTGAATTTCTGTTGATTCAACCCAGTTTTGTTTAAATACAGTACACTTATACCAAATGTGTAGGTATGAGTCTTTGGGAACAAGAGGTACATAATTAAAAGATTTGAAAATGTTACTGATTTGAAATTGTAATACTGCATAATTTATAGTGGAAGGAATTGCTATTTATCAATTGCAATTATTAAATTAGAAATCTGATTTTTTTTCACCAGGTGTATTGTGGTGAAACAAACAAGGACTGACTATTTTTTTCAAGTTTTGGAAACTAACGGCATCATAGGTAATTCGGTTGTAAAGTTCATTTCTCCGCCTTGGAAACAGCGCCGTGTTTGTCTCACAACGGCGGGAAACTGTATGAGTCGTTCAATGGTCATGGGGCAAAAAGTGTCTGGCGGTATGAAGCAGATTGCCCGCGAGTCTAACTACAGCGCACATCGGGAGTTGGTCTACAGCGGCGATTTTCAAAAACCAAACAGACTGGACATGTTGCTCGACATGCCACCAATTGATACAGAATCACAGTTAAAATTCACGTGGAACGAGCAGGACCGTTCGTTAAATATATTTGTAAAAGACGATGACCCATTCACATTCCATAGACATCCAGTTGCACAAAGTACAGACTGTATACGTGGTAAAGTTGGATTCTCACGAGGACTACACGTTTTTGAGGTTCAGTGGAACACGCGGCAACGTGGTACTCACGCTGTGATCGGTGTAGGAACAGAATCTGCCCCATTACACTGTGTTGGTTATCAATCGCTAGTAGGTTCTACAGCGGACTCATGGGGCTGGGACTTGGGTAGAAGTAAATTATTTCATGATGCAAAACACCAACAAGGTATACAGTATCCAATCTTACCACATGAAGAAAATCTGCAAGTACCGGACATATTCCAAATGGTGCTAGATATGGACGAGGGTACTCTAAGCTTTATTGTTAATGGACAGTTTGTTGGAATTGCATTTAGGGGTCTCAAAGGAAAGAAATTGTATCCAATGGTCAGTGCAGTATGGGGACACTGTGAAATTACACTAAAATACCTTGGAGGACTAGAACGTAAGTTTAACTTTATTTATATTCAAAATGGTCAGTTAGATTTAATCCAAGAGATTAATCCATTTTCTGATGAGCATCATAACAAATTTTCTTCATCCAGTATGTTTCATTGACATCAATGGCAACAAGAACGATAGACACGAGGTCATTGACCATAAGGTTGTTGATGTAAGTTATCGGTGTAGTACTTAGTCGCCTCTGTATTGTAGTTAGTACAGTAGGCTTGAGTCAATAACCATTTTATAACTGCAAATATTGACCATAGCCGATAAGGAACCTGAAAATGACATTGTCACAACAAAGGATAGTTCCCAATGGCCTGCCTCTAGAATCACAACTCTCTTCCTAAAAACATGACAACTAAAATAGCTGTGGTCTAAGGGGAGGGGTGGTTGCAATAGTGTACTGTATCCTTCCTTACAATGTACAGTAGCTTAGGTGCTATGCCCTCTAAAATCCCAGGCATTTTAGCCAGTTACAGTAAAATGTATCTTGTAAACTTGAATCTGATCCAATGGTTATCAAAATTATATCTAATATGATAGGAAAACACAATCTTTGAATGAGCCAAGATAAGAAACAAACCCACAGGCACTGGTTAAAAGGTTGGCATGCTTGATCTGGTTTCGGTCAAGATAGTCACTAGAGTGCAAACAAACAGCAAACACAGTAGTTCTGGCAACACCAACCAACCAACCAACCAACCAAAACCAACCAACTATTAACTTCCCTTGATACTCCTAATTATTAATATTACTGTATGTATGTAGATACTAAATGTGATTATATGTTTTGCAACATTCTACAGTACCAGTACCTTTACCATATTGGGGGCTACAGTAGGGTATAGGTGCTAGTGTGAGTATTTCAAAATCTGGAACTGCGTAAGAATTGATGTTAAAGAATAATATTCCTAATTGATAAAATGGCAAACACCTTTGCACTACAGTATTACGCAGCATGCTGCTCGTCTGAACGTTGTCCCAAGTGCTTTCCATTTTTTATTCAACCTTAAAACCTTAATATTAAACTAAAAATATATTCAGGTTAAAAACAGTTTAAATAATACTGGGTAGGAGCTGGCATCTCAATCCAAAGAATTCCATAATCACTGCTGGTGGGAAAATTATGTACAACACAAGGTCAGCCATGTTGTATGACCTTAACAGCTAGCCAGTTCAAAGGTTATCAATTGTTCACAGAGGGTTTTTGTCCTTCATTGGAAGGATCAGGTTTTAGAATTTTTGAACACTATAAATCCTTTGTTGCATTAAAATCTTCAGTGCTTGACATTTAAATACAATAAGAAACTCAAATACCAGTCTTTAATATATAATTTAATAAATTTATTTATATTTTTTTAAATTCCAGCTTCACCTCTACCATTGCAAGAGCTATGTCGAAGGTCAATAAGAGTATCTTTAGGCAAAGAAAATCTTGAAAATGTATATGAACTCCCACTACCGATGATGGTCAAACGGTACTTACTTTTCCAATGAATAATTTAGAATATAAGAATATGGAGATTTTCGAAAGGAAGGGATGCGGAAGCTGAATGAAGACTACTCAAGCGTGTTCAAGCCAAGTGAAATGACTACTGGGCCTAGCGCCAATTCATAAAATCGATGCAGTACTAACTTTCAGTGACGGGATCCAAGCTAAAATACATCTATTCCAAGTGAAGCAGCCAAGAATTTTGAAGGGTATCTTGTCTTGATATTCCATAATACTCTCATTATGTTGGGGTTTATGAACTTGGTACAAAAGCAACTCCGTATCTTGGATATATTTCTTAAAGGATTTGAACCGCCGACATCCAAGACTGGTTGAAGAGCAACTCGATAAAGTTTTAAAATTGTTTAAACTCGCCACCACCTGCAGGTTCATTCTGGAGGGTGAAAGTAGAGGATGCATTATTACTCTCTCACAACCAAAATCTGTTTACACAACATGGAAAAATATAGTGTTATGTTTTTTTTTTTTTGTCATTTCTGTTTCTGCAACACCTTAGTTTAACATGTGCTTCCTGGAGATATTATCCCTTGTTATAAATGTATTTATTTATGTCATTAATTATTAATTATTTATATAAGTATTCTAGAGACTACAGTAGCACTTATTTCATTTTGTCCATAATGTACCTACTAGTAAGTGTAATATGTTGTCCATTTCATAAACAAAATCCTCAAGGCCTACTGGACAATCCTGTTGCCGGTTCTGTTGCTTGCTGTAGCAGGAAACTCTGTCTTGATTTCATACGAGGAAAGACTGGTCCAGACTTCACTAGGTCTAGGAATTTTAATTGTTTTTACCATCCATTTTAGCTTTTAACCCTGTTCTGTTATGCAATACAGGAATGTGTATTCTATTTTTTTCTAATTGATATTTTCAAAAAATTACAAATACCAGTAAAACCAGAATTTTTAATATTTAAAAATTGAAATAATATTGCTGCGACATGTGCTGTGTATACTGTGAGTACTGATCTGATTTTTTTGTTTTTAATAAAATTATACAATTCAATAAGTCAAAGATATATATAATATAATAATGCTATTTTTGTCTCTTGGTAGACAAACAATATTTACTGCAATTTTAACTTATTCTGCCTCGAAAATGCTGTTTGTTTTTTACAGGAACTTAAGTTGCATTGTTCAATACCACTACAGTAAGCTAGACATACCTTTGGAGTACAGCTGAATGTGATAAAACATAGCGATTAATTAAAAATAAGTTAATAAATATTGTAACTTGAATGCCATCACCTTCCCATATACAGTAGATTGTAGACAATTAAGTTATGGTTAAAACACTTGGTAAAGAAATCATATGGAAGATGTATTTAAGTTGGTATGCAAGTATGCTAATTATTTAGAATGATAGTCATGCTCTTTGTGCAATAGGGGTCAGAGGTCAAAGCCAAATGAATAAATATATTATTTTTTAAAAGAAAACAATGAGCTGTACAGTGAAATAAATAATGCAGAGAACTTCTTTTAATGAGCCCTGGTTTTAAAATTCTAGTCAAGTCCTTTACAAATGTGGATAAATTTATATGTACAAATATACAAAATCTAATAAAACAAAGTATCTATAGTGATCAATAGATTTACTGTAAAACAGAATCGTTCTTCAGTCTGAAGTAATGCTTCCCAACAAATTTCAACAACTTTAACCTAAAATGGTAATTAAATATTCCCCAGCAAGATGGTATTTTAGCACAACTACACCGATACATTTTAAAATGTTTCAAACACTTTTAAACATAGTTTTAGATAATGTGCCTGATTTTATGGTGGTGGAGGACTGTGTTGTTATGTTTTATGTTTTGTTTTGATAGAACGATGACATGATTCCTCCTTACAGTATATTTGTTTTCATTTCTTTTTATCAAACTTACGAATCCTATAATCAATGTCTCTTATGTACTGTCAAAATTGCATTTTGTAGGACATTTTTAAATATTCAATAAAAACTATTTAATACAAGATACATGAACTTTGAACTGTGTTTGTTTGTGTTTTTATAGTGTTACTTTACTACAGTATACAGTAGTTTGTGCTTCTGTAGAGCATAATGTCTGAAATGCAATGAACCGTATGGAGAATTTTATTATTTTGATGAGACCATGGAGGTATAAATTAAATTTTATACCTCCATGATGAGACCACTAGTCATGACTATTGTGTGGTGAAGATCGTTTATCAGAGTGACAGCTGTGTCTTCGTCATCAAGGTTTAAAGTGAAAGAAAATAACCAATATTAAATACTGTACAATCAATAATACTGTATGTACTCTGGGAGACAAATTGGGCTAAATGACTGTTCATGATTTTTAAGATCAATGTTCATATCAAAAATTGCAATTTATCAGATATATACAGTATCTCCCATAAATACAAATTTACAGCAATGTACCGGTAGTACATTGTGCCCTTGGATTAAAATTGACATTACAGTAACTTGAAAATGATTTGGAATTGGCAAGGATTGGTTGTTCAATAAACTAGTACGTACTGTATGTATTTGTAAATTACATTCTCTGGCATTTCTTTTTGACCATTTGTTTTGGCATTTTGTACAGTAGTTCTGGTATGTTGGTACCGGTAGACGATGTAATCCGTTTCATTTAGAAATGGGTCTTCTATTGTGTTGAGATAATGCATGGACCATTAAACACGGAAATCCATGGATGCTGACGTATGTTAGAACAGGCATGTTTTCATGGGTAGATACAGATTCCAAATGGTATGACCAAGTTGTAAAGAAAATCAGTGAGTACAATAGGTTTAAGTATGAAAACCGTAAAGTGCAAGCATGGAGATATCAATGGTGCTAGTGACTAACTATAAAATACACTTATACCAGACTTGGTGAAGGTCACCAGGGGTCCTAACAAAATGAAGTTTTTAGTACCAAACTTGGAAAACAGATTCCAAGCCGCATCCTTCGAACTTATCCGACAGTGCTTTTTTAAATGACGCTCGCATTGATAATGCAGCTAGTTGGTATACAATACTGTAGAACTTCAAAATTTGATTTAGTGACAAATTCTGATTGAATGCCCATATATAAATTATGCATTTAAATCTAAATGTTTTGATTTTTACTCCCTTTTATAATTCTTATTGTTTGTAAGAGCAAGTTGTACTAAGCTTACACACAAAATAATACTTGCGCAGCTAACTGAAAAAACTTACCAAGTTTAAAATTTATTGCAGGTGCTAGAACCACTTTAATATGCGTGTTCATATGCCAGACCCTTCACAGGAGTACTGTAAGCCTTAGTATACTCTTATAGGTATGAATGAGAACAAATGGGTTTTAACAAACTTAGGATCAGTTTCATGCAATTATGTGCCATAATTGTACTGGTAATGATTTATTCACACAGGAAAGAAAGCATAACAATAATAAATACAAGCTGAATTTTACCATCTGCTGTGTGGTCACCAGTGAAGTAAGAAAGTGTGAGATTTGGTTTACAATTCCTGAACTAGATTTTTATCCAATACGGAGCTTCAGACGAAACCAATTCAGTTGAAAAAAATTCTGAGCTTGTTGCTTAAACAATGTAAGCCAATTTTTGAGCTTACTCTGACCTGAGAATAACCATAACACAGCAGTCAGCCTGCTACTGGTAGGCGCAGGAAGCGACTGCATCACACACTAATTGTATCAAAGAATGTTGCCTTAAATTTAGAGAACAGTAAAATTGTTATAAGTACATGTATTGTAGGCCCATTTCTCTTTCCCACTGTTTGCCTCAAGTGTCTGTCTCTCTTTATCAGGTCTGCACTACTCTTTAAAATATTGTATCTCTTCAGTATTGCTTTGTTAAGACTATACAGAACCAAAATTCTTTTTTTTCAGAAAAATTTTTTTATGAAAACATTCCTTCATGAAACCCAGCCTCAGTGCACCCAGGCTAACCATTCTATTACTTGATTTCCTTCTTCCCATATGCTTTAGAGTCTCGCAATTCCCATGATGTACCACTCTTTCCTGTGCTCTCTGACACTCTGTCTACCTTTGTTGGGTGATCTAGGATTCAATAACTTATGCTCAGTTTTCCCCTGACAAACCAATCCTATGGGAATCAGTGTCTGATTTTGTTTAATAATAGGGAAACAATCAAGCTGCATCCATCTGCATTTCCAGATTATTGGAACAAAGGAAAAAAAATATTTACCTTTGGCAAATCATACAGTACATGCTTAAATTAATAGGACTAGAATACTGTAGAATAATTACAACTTTCAATTTTTACTCCAGTAGGCCTGAACAAGTATGCTAAATAGAATATGATTATGAAAATGATGAAGAAAGACAAAAAAGCTATGTAAACTTGAAACAACTAGAGTAAGTAAATTTGACATGTGGATTTTAATGTGAACTGGAGAACTTTTATTAATTGAATTTGAATCCAACTCAAGCGCCATATTTTTTAGATAGTATGAGAAAGTAATGAATATGTATAAAATTTGTATTAGAGATTAAGGGAATCTTAAACCTTTATGTTTAAACCAACAATCTATCGTTAGACCAGTATTTGGGTAAAATTCATTTGGCATATGAAAAATCGAGCGATCCTCTGGGTTATCCCCTGACACCAGTTGGCAATCCTGGATATACCCTCTCTCTTTAATATTGGATACATTATTGTTCTGTTAAATCTACAGTTGCATTTTAAGAATTTCATATGGAAAAATCATTACTATGACTCACCCAACTGTGGTTAAGTTTCTTGATCTATGAGAATTCTCATTATTATGTTAATTACTTATTTATATTGTTACTAATAACCAAATAATAATGTACAGACCTGTGTTCTTTAACTAGGTATTCATTAAACATTTTCAAATCAATTCTTTCTTTGTTCTGGAAAACAACCTTTGAATACAATGGAATTGGTTTCACAATAGATCTACATTTTTATTAAACTCAGTGGCAGTGCCCAGGGTGGGGGGAAGTGGGCCCCTGGGATGGGGTCAGGGGCAGCAGGGGCTTAAGCCCCCACACCGGACAGGTCAAGCCCCCATCAGAGAGAGCTTGTCGGGCAGTTGGCTAAAAAATACATAAAAATAGGTCCACACACCAAGCCAACACAGTCTGTCACAATCCGATAGTGTCATTTTTGGCCATCCAGAAGTTCCTATTCTCATTTTGGAGGGGGAATGGTGAACAAAGTATGTTTTATCCTTTATTCAGTCCTGCTCTGACTTTCAATATTTTATTTGACAAAAACATGACATGCCTAAATATAATAGGCACATAATGACTATACAGTAAAAACTTGCCTAAATTCGACTGCCTAACTCCAATAATTTTTAAGTCAATTTTATTTTACATACCAGAATTTTGTTTGAATTTATCTAATTCAAACAATTTTTCAATGACATTTTGGACTGACTTAGGCAAGTTCACCTGTATATAGGCATACAACAGTTTTTTATTAAATAAAATTTGATGTAATTTATATATATAAATATAATATATGAATTAACTGTAAGTAAAAGAGAAAATATGAAAACAAAAAAATAAATATAAACAAAAAAACCAATTAAATCTGGATGAGAGCAAGAGAACAAATGAACAGGGCATTGGTAGAGAATATTAATTTTTAAAAGTTGTGAGGTTGTTTGGAAGGTAGCTTGATTAGAATACATAAAATGAAGAGATTCATTATTGTATTACCCATCTCATTTCTAAACTGAAAAGCATTTTGCAAAAGACTTTGAATGTCAAATAAACCATGATTTTTGTGAAACAATAAAAGTAAGAGTACAGTATGTTAACGCTTTGCCTATGCATGCATTACCACTGCATAATTTATTTTATGCTGCACTGTAACGAGAAACTATGAAAATAAATCATATTAAACTTAGTACTGTGTTTCTACGTTTTATTAGCCTTCGGCTTCTACCTAGGGTAAATAGATTGTATTTACGGAGGTGTGTATATTAGCATTTTGAACAAAAATTGGATGAACTTAAGTATTGAACATCAACTCTTTAATTACCAGTAGGCTAAACTACAACCGTTTAGTCTACTAGATGAAATTGATGCAAGGAATTTATTTTACTTGGAAAGAGTCAATAGATGTGATTGGACTAGTAAGACAGTTAAACTGCAAGACATAAATGTGTCATGCATTTACAAGCAACATTTAAATAAAAATTTGCATTGGCGTATTAACCACTAGGATACACCTTACTGGGTTTGGCTTTGGCTTTCATTGTGTCTTTGTTGTACATATTTTTACATACCTATTTGCCTTGCTTGTGAAATAGAGGGGCCTAAGGAGGAATTTTACTGATGTACAGCAAATGCCGTAGCCAGGATTTTCAAACAGTATGGGACAATATCGCGGTGGACCCACTTTACGTGTAAATTCAAATAATGTGGACCCGTTTTCTTAAAATTTGACCCATTTTACGCAAAAAAATGTGAAAAATGTGGACCCATTGTCTTAAAAGTTTTCAAATTTTATGCAAAATATGATAAATCTGGACTCTTTTTTCAAAAAGCAGACTCATTTTTTGCATCAGCATAATTTAAACTCATTTGTAAAAATGTGACCCATTCTTTGTGGACCCAATATAAAATTTTGTGGAACTGTCCCAATAGCTGGCTATGGCATTGTATAGCTCCACGACTTGAAACAAGTCTACAAATAGTTCCATGAATACTAGTAATCCATAATGAAAACATTTAGTAAATGATAAGGCTAAAATACATTTTAAATTACAACATTTAGTTCTAATAAATGTGTAGAGAAAGAGAAATTATAACTTTTATAAATGAACCCAATGACAATACAAATGAATAAATCAGATAATTTTTGTCAATTTTAATTTAAATTATTATTTTATTTCTTTAAGACATTATACTATGTTTTTTGGTTGTCAAAGTAATTGCATGAAATGTTGTTCCAATCCAAAACTTGAATTATAAAATTATAATTTTTCATTTACAATAATTACTAAAGTATTGGT